CCCATCGCAATGGCCAGGAGGTATTACCGGCTTTCTAGTTCTCTCTCACTGGCCCGCGATAGCATAGCTGTCTTTGCCAGGCGATTGGAATCGTCGGGCACCAGTGCGTCGATAGTAAATGCAGTAAAACATGTGAAACCCACAGCTCCTCCTCTTCCGAAGGAGAGGGAGGATGGGAGCATGTATCTAGTGCTCCCCTTCTCTAGCCAATGGTTTGCAGCTAATGTCCCAGGGATTCTGGACCGCTTGAACAGGAAGTGGTCCGCTCTCACGGGAATCACGCTCAGAGCCTCATGGAAATTAGGGGATCGTCATCTAGCTCAGAGACTGAAGGCCCTGATTTCAGATCATTGTGAAGAACATGATCTCTTTGATCCCGTGAAGGAGGTAGGTTGGGGTAGGTAGGTGGTTATTCTCTTTCTTTCTCAAGCTCTTGGGGGGGCACGATTTGTCCGCCCCAGTCCCGTTGTGAGAATCATCGCAAGCAGAGTGTAACGCAGAAAGCAAAATGTAGTGACAGAGGACATTTTCACAGCGATTTTCGGGTTAACGCTTCTCTAGTCCGTAATGCTGCATTTAGGCTCAACCCGCTATGCCACCAAGGGCACTTCTGGGGTAGGCAGAGTCCCAGAGAGCCACCAAAGACACGCCAAAGGCCCAGGCCTAGCGCTCACGACGAAAACATCATCTTCTGATATTTTCCCTTACACGTCGGAGCGACGGCATGTCTGATGATGACGCACAGCAAGGGCGGAGAGCAGGCAGGCGCCCTCTCCACCAACCGCATGAGCCACCAGCGGCTGCTGCTGCTGAAAACATCATCATCATCATCATCATCATCATCATCATCATCATCATCATCATCATCATCATCATCATCATCATCATCATCATCGGCAAGTGGCTCGCATGACCCGTCGCGCGAACGCTCGCGGGCAGCCCCTTCCCCACCCGCGAGGCGCCCGGCTCACTGCTGTCCGTGCCGTGCACCCGACGTCGGCGTACCCCAATTCAGTCCTCCCAGATAGGGTTCGAGTACAGTCGGGGCGTTGACCTAAGGAACCCAAAATAAGGAACGAGGCCCCTTTTCTCCATAAGTTAAACTTCGATTGTCCATGGAAAACCTCCTGAAAACCTGAGAATCACTGTAAAACAACTAAAGAACACGGAGCCCCTCCCGAACAAAAAGGGTTCCTTCTTCAGGGCCCCGACTGTAGGGTTCGAGTGAGGGTCCGAGCGCATGGGGTTGGAGGACCGTGCCACCCATGCATTCGCGGTGTGATGGCGACGCCGGCGGTGTATCGGCGCCATCGGCGTGGAGAAAATCGGGCTCTACGTCGGGCCGCATCGCCGATGCATCGGCGGTGCGGCACGATCCTCCGACCTCCAACCCCACCTACTCGGGCCCGTTTGGGAGCAACTGGCAACACACATCTTGCTGCCGCACGTTATCGAAATCGCGCGGCTACTCAACGCTGCAAGTCGTCGCGGTCATCGGGCGCCGCGAACCACCACAGCAAGGCAGCGGGCCGCGGCCTAAATCGCGGGGAGAGGGACGCAACGAAAGAAGTAGCAAGAATAAACACAACAGAATGGAACGGACCTGATCCGCTCCGCTGAATCCTAAAGGCGCAATCCCCCTCCACCGAAGATCTCGGTGTGACCGCGAAGCACAGAGACCAGCGGGGCAGGCGGTCTTCTCACTTGATGATCGGTCACGGGGGGCGCGCTGGTGCGCGCCTGTTTCTCGCTCCCGCCCGAGGCATCCCCTCTCCGTGCAAAAAAACAGACGAGTTGAGAGTGAGGGGGAGGAGAGGAGAGGCAAGCAACGCGCGCAAGGGCCACATCTGACACGTTACAGTCAGGCTACGACTACTATGCTGTACGGAGCAATTAAAATGTACCAAACAAATCCTGGACAACTCCCCGGACAACCCAGACAACCTCTCCGAGATGGAGACGACATGTGCCCTAGCATGTAAGCGTGGCCAACGCTTGAGCGAGAGCACCGTTCCCTACCAGGAATGTGGCTGGCACACTGGAGAGAGCACCTTCTTCAATCAGGGGTGTGGCTGGCGCTCAAGCGAGAGCAACACCCAGTGCTCGGGCGACAGCTCGCTTCCCTATCGAGAGTGTAGTCACCGCTCAGGCGACAGCACCACTCCCGTTCAGGGATATGGCCGGCGCTCCAACGACAGCACCATTCGGCACCTCCCCCGCGATTCCATGGGAGTCCTGTGTCTGCTCATCCTTGGGTTAGGGCATCTTTGTGCACAGAGTTCCGAGGCTGTCTCAGGCAGAACTGGCTGGACAACCTCGCGCGCAGCATCTCAGAAGCCATAGTTTCGAGGATGTCTCAGGCGAAACTGGCTGGACAACCTCAGGTCAGGACATGCAATCCCCGAACTCAGAATTGCGAGGATGTCGCAGCGGAAAGTGGACGCACGCTGAGGAATGTGAAGACAGAAGGTTGAAGAATGAGGAGGCCCAAGAGAGGGCTTGGGTAGGATTGCGCCTGGACAACCCCCGGACAACCCCCCGGACAACCCGGTTGACGACCCCCGGACAATCCCCTCGAGAATCCGACGTGCGGGGGGAAGGCCGTGTCCTTGTATTGGGGGTCGCCGGTGGCTCTCTTCTCTCGGACCACCTGAGGTCAGGGCATCTCTAAGACCAAGATTGCGGGAACGGACAACCTCGTGGGCGGCATCTCCGAGCCCAGACTTACAAAGATATCGCAGGCGAAACCGGCCGGAACACCTCAGATCTGGGCATGCGTGAGCCCAGCGTTACGAGGATGTCTCAAGCGAAAGTGGCAAGACAATGTCCTCATTTTGAGCATGTCTCTGTGCGCTGGTCCCACAGATGGAACTAACTTCTACAACTGCAAGGATTTCAGCCAACCACGCTTCGTGGAGAACAACGACCAATGAGGATGTGCGAGCGGGGGCGGGTGGACGCGAGGGAAGAGGAACGAACAAGAGGGGAAGGAGGAGAGAAGCGCCCTTTCCAGCTGGGTTTGACTGGCTCCGCCATGATTCTGATGATATTGATGATTATGGCATGTGCGTGCGCTGGCAAACCGGAACGGCACGGACAACCCGTTGCATGGACAACCCCGCGAGGGAGCCGGACAACCCCAACCCAGAGAACACCCCCGGACAACCCTCCCTGGATGCTTTTCTTTTCGATGCTACCTAATATAAGGAACGCTACTGAGAATGAGCGAGACCTTTCTTGGGCAGATAGAGGAAGAACCATGAAAGGATTTGGGGAATCACGAACCCTCCTGAACCCAACGCGATCCTTATTTCAGCGTCTTGACTGCACCTGTCCCCCTCATCCCGTCCCACTGCGCCGAACAACGTTTCCATCCGCCCGGTAGGGTGCCCTAGAAGACCTCGACCCCCGAAGGGCAGTCGCACAACCCGACCCATCGCTTGCTGTGCAAAATCGGAAGGGGGGGCTCTCCGTGCACTGGAGGAGGGCGGCAGCAGCAGAAGCCAGGAGAGGCGACGAAGGGCCAAAGGAGACTCGTGGCAACGCCTTCTTCGGGGAACCGGGCACGTCAATCGGGCGCGCGCTGGAGCGAGAGCGCCACTCCAAACGACGGAAGCAGCGGAGGAGGAGGAGGAGGAGGCGGGGGACGAGGGGAAGGAGGAGGAGGAGGAGGAGGAGGAGGAGGAGGAGGAGGAGTAGGAGGAGGAGGATGGAGGAGGAGGAGGAGGAGGAGGAAGGAGGAGGAGGAGGAGGAGTAGGAGGAAGGAGGATGGAGGAGGAGGAGGAGGAGGAGGAGGCGGAAGATGGATGAGGAGGAGGAGGAGGAGGAGGCTGCGCCGAAGGCGACGGCCACGGACAGCATGGCCAGCTCGAGTGCAGAACGCTCGACGTGACTGCGGCACAGACAGCGCGGGCCCGGTCTGGCGGCGTCCCAGTGCCCACGGGCTGCCCTGGCCGCATGGCAAAGATGCCTCCGCGGTCCAGCACGCACCGCCTCTGCTGCCCCCCATGGCACGCCAGAAGCGCAGCAACCACGGGATCACCCACGAGGTGTGGCACGTGTGGAAGTGCTCATACCGGTCACTGGATAGTGGATAGGCAAACCCAAGCTTGCCACGTCGCACCACCGAGCAAAAGCATGCGAATTAAGGAAGACAGAGGTGATGATTCTGGAGAGCAAGGGGGAAGGACACTGTCCTCCCCCTCGTTCTCCATGGTCGTTGCCTTCGTCTTCCCAAGTCCGCATGTCAAGAGGAGGCGAAAGAGGAGACGCATGATCAAGATCACGACGATCATAAAGTATCAGGGTGGGGAGGGGAGGAAAGGAGAGGAAGAAAGATCAGCCGACTACCGAGAATAAGGGGAAGCAGGTGGAAGGTCTCCCCCCAGGCTCCCGGAGGCCTCCGAAGCCCTTCGGAAGCCTCTACAGAAGAGCACTAAGCCACGTAAACATCTAAAGTCGGAGGTCCGCGCGGATCTCTGGGAGCGGCGCCAAACTCCTGTCCACGGCGCGCGGAGCGCGCCAAGCGCGGTGCCAGAGGCGCTGCCAGGGGGGTCTAGCACCGATGCAAGAAATCCGCGCGGACTCCCAAAGCTCATGTTTGCGCTGATGT